TCCAGAGACAACTTTAGTATTACCATAGTGCCTAGGAGAACCAGTTCTTATCAAATTCTGCATGCTCATCACAGAGAACAAACACTGCAATGAGAGTTAGAAGCCACTGGGCACCTATCTGAGCTATCAGATGACTGTGTTGATGTAAAAGCCCATAAAAGAAGATCACATCACAAACTCTGGTTGCAGCACTTCCAGGTGTGGGTCCACCAACACACTCCAGGACCATGGAGCAAGCACAGGCTCCCCATGCTCTTGAAAAAGGTCCTAAGTCTTTAGCACTGAAAGACTCCACATGTTACCTTAAGCAAATTATTCATACCTTCTACACCTTATATTTGCCACCTACAGTAGAAAAGGAGGGTCAATACTAAGCTTACCCAGCTACCCTGTATTTGGGGTGAGGACTGAAAAAACTCCAAAACCTACAGATTTCCCTTACAATTCACGTGTCATTAGCCTGGTCAGAACTGGTTTCCAAGCCCCGTTGGTCAGAGGATGGTGTGGCCTTGCTCACTCCCTGCTGCTTCTCTGAAACAGGCAAGCAGCAAGGGGAACACAGCAGTGCCCACCCATGTTCCTGCCCCACCACAGGAAGGAGCAGGGCCAGACTCCCCAAAGGAATCTGGAGGAGGTTACAAGTCAACAGCTCCCATTAAAGGAGGCAGAAATTCAAACCAGAGTCTTCTGGAATGGTTTACATGGCACATAAAACAGAAACACAATCATAGAAATCATTCAACAACTGATTGGGATTAGTTTTATGAAAGCAGTCTTCAAGAGTAAGGAGGATGCAGTACTTTTTGCTAATTTGGAGGCACGTGCTCTTGCCTCATGGAAATTTGTCCCTGCCAACAGCTTTGCAAGCTGAACATCCCATGCAATTCAATGGGAAAAGCCAGGTTTTGGCAACTGGAGCATCAAGATGTAGGGCTTGCCTTACAGTGACAGAGCTGGTTTGCAATTGTATCAGCTCTGTGCTTCCAGCAGCTCTGGCGTTCTTGTTAACAGATCCTTTCCTCACTCTTAAAAGTGTAGGATAACATCTGGGCCTTTTGGGAAGCAGTCTCGCAATAAAGAAGCACTTTGTGTAATTCTTCTTTCCTCGCCAAACCACATCTGTCTGCTCTCCCTGCCCCTCTCCACTCCATCCGAGCTCCTCGGGGCTGCAGGGACACATGCTGCAGCAGCAGGCTGTCTCCACTGAGTCATCAGTAGGTGGCACTGCCTGCTTTCCTCTCTACCACACCAGTATCCGTTGCCAACACCCCACACTCACCAACATCAACGACCTCAGAAGACAACCAGGTGACTTGGAGGCCTCGTCTCTGTGAAGGGTAACATGGAGCAACCAAGGGGACTACGCAGCTGCAGCCCTTCACCAGAGAAAGGAAGTGGCCAGCAGCAGGAGAACCTCTCTAGGCTGCACAAGGCCTGGAGCTCCTGCTTCCACAGTTCAGCAGACAGAGCCAGTCTGCTCCCAGCATCACATCTTCAGCCAATCTGCCTATGAGCAGTTCAAAGTGACTACTTTTTAAAAAAAAAAAAATCCCAGCCCATTAGGCACTTCGCTTTGCAAGGTAGACTCCCAACAACTATTGTCCCATCCCAAACTCAGAAACTCATGCAGTCACTGACCAGCCTCTCGGATCAGCAGTGTGCAAAGCTTTCACGGTTAAGTCCCAGTCAGCTGCAAACGAAGGCTCACCGCTGGGCATCCTGCCTGGTGGCAGCGAGGTTTGTCATTCGGCATCCTGCACCACGGTCACCACAAAGGGCATTCACTCACTGTCCATCTGCTGACAGCAGGCAGGTCCCCCAGTGGCTGCTTCAACCATGGCTTCACAGTGTGCTCTTCCCTTCCCCCTGCTTCTGGGAGCACAGCGCTGAATTCATGCAAGAATGGGGAGGACTGCTCCTTCCAGAGTCCTTCCTATGCAAATATGCTAGCACTGAAATTAATTGTATATTGGACTTCTTCGCACTCAGGAAGACTGTCTGCTTCCACCTGGAATACGCAACATCCATTCAAAGCTCTACCACTTGGATTCTCATGCTAAAAGTAAGACTTGTGCCCTATCCCCCTGACTACGCATACCTATAGGGAAACCATTATGGTAAAAAGATCGGTAATTATCACTTGCAAAGAGAAGGAAATCCGATTTAAAATTGGGTATGTTAAATACGGTCAGCTAGCAAATCCTGCACCGCGGAGCTTGTCAGCTATGCGTTATTTTTAGTACAATTTTAAGCAACGATGTATATATATAAATACATATTTTAAGAGCGATAAATACCATCACAGTAGTACTAAAGCCAGTCAGTAGCAAACACACGCTTGTGAACGGAATCGATTCCTGCTGCAGTGCCGCCCCCGTACCCCATCGGCACACACTAAGCCTGCCGAGCGCTGAGTGCTCCCCGAACTGCGGATACCGGGCACTCCTTCCCCTACAACCGGCTGCAGACAAAGCCAGCATCACCTTCCGTTGAGCGTTTGTGATTGTTTTTAAGAAAGCGGCGGCTCCTTCTGACACGAATCACTGTGAGCGCTGATAGATGGTTGGCACGGACAGGAGCTCGCACTTCTCCGACGTCTGCGGTGCCAAACCTCCCTGCTCTGCTTCAGCAGAAAGAGATGCCCCAAAGAAGAGGGCACGTTCACGTCACGAAGGGCAGCACCCTACCTTGTGATACTTCGGGGCCATAATCACATCATTGCAGCAAATCAAACATTGCCTTTGTGCCTTCACAATCGTGTCCATTGTCCGAAATTAAATGCAAATGGTTTGATTCTCTTTTCTTCCTCAAACAAGGGCGGGGAGGGATTAAAGAGCACTTAATCACCTTCCTCCCCGAGCACCGGTGTTCACAAAGCGGCATCACAGCTCTGCGAGCAAAGAAACCGCAGCTCGGAGGGAAATGGAGAGCTTGGGCACCGCGTCTGACGGGGAGCGGCTGCAGAGCTACTAGCGGGCCACGAAATCCTTCGTTCTAATAAATCAGCGACCCACTCGCTTCTCTTTCCCCTCTGCCCTTCGTTCTAAAAGCCTCCCTAACGCACCGCCCCTCTTCTCCTCGCGACCTTGCGGACCCACCCGCAGCGCTGCCTGCACCTGCCCGGCCCAGGGGATGGGAGCGCGGCAGCAGAGCAGCCCGGCAGTAGGACGACCTGCTCTCCTCTCTCCGCTTTTCCACGTTCCTATAACAGCGCCGAATGGCCGCATCTACCGGAGTCGACCCATCTGGCTCCTGCCCCGGCGGAAGGCGCGACGGCGGATGTATCAGAACGCTGGTCTGAGGGCAGGGTGCGCTCTGAAAGAGCTCTTTCCCCTCTATCCCTTTATCGTACAGTAAAGGAGTATTTTTAAAGGAAGGCTAAAATAAATAAATAAATGCTGATTTTGACAAGAGACAGGCCCGAATGGGAACTGCTGAGACAGTAAAGAACAAGTCTGTTATCTTACAAACTACACTTCAAGCTGTCAGCTGCCCGAGATTTACAGGAAAACCCCCTTCCTTAGGACGAAACCTACACCGAACTTCATTTCCAGCCCCACCAATGCCACCTCCTCACTCCAAGCCGCCCCAACCACAAACAGGTGTCAACGGGAAAGCGAGGGGTAGCCCCGGTCCCCCTCCTGCCAGGAGGACAGGCAGCCCCAGAACGGAACGATGCGTTCGACGGATGCGAAGTGCGGGAGCGCGGCTGCCGTGGATGAAATGGAAGCGGCTGTCAAAGGCCAGAGAAGAGGGGAGGAGACGGTTTGGCTTTCGAATCCGTTTCCTCTCCCTCGGCCGCAATACTCGGACAGTGATTTCTAAGCCCAAATACCGCCCTGGGCCGGCTTCCACTGAAAACACGGAGAGTTCCAGCACGGAGGCCAAAGGATCCCGTCCCCTTTCAGATTTTAGGGGCATCGTCGGTTTGCCGTTGGTCGCCCGTTCCTATCCCCCCCCGTTTACCGGGGCTCCCGGCTGCCATCGAAGCCCCATTCCCAGCCCCGCCGTGCCCTGACGCGGCCGTCGGGTGAGGCTGCAAGCCTCCCCCTGGGGTGTTGCACCACCGAGCGGAGCGGCACTTCCCCGGCCGTCCCTGTACCTCTCCGGTGCGAAACGTCCCCACGGAGAAAGTCAGGGATTCCAAGGGACTCCCGGTGCGCTTCCTCCGGCTGGCAGAGCCGGGGTACAACCAAAACAAAACGCGATGACAAAACCGTCACGAAACCGAAAAGATGGTCCTGATTTAGCAGCGCGCTATTTTTAAACGGGGCGGCACTGAGATCACCCTCACGAGGGTTCGTCCAGCCGCGGGGCCGCGCTTCTTCCCCCGACGCCCGAGGAGCGGCCGAGAGGTTTCCGGACCCAAGCCCTCCTTCCCTCCCCGGCACGGGACGTGCTTATATCCCACTGTCGGCTCTGCCGGTAATTACTGCACCCGGTGCGTTCCATCGGAAACCAAAAGAGCGAGGCACATCGTTACCGGAATGGCAGCTCTTTGCGGTTCGCTCACGAGGAAAGATAATAGAAATTGAAAGGAAGGAGGAAGGCTCAATTCCTATTTTCCTGCAGATGAATCGCAGCTGCCCGCTCGTTAAGCGGAACGTTCAACTCCAGAGCTGTGACCGCGGGGGCCTGACTGCCACCCCTGCTGTTGCCGGAGAAGAAATACAAAACTCCTCGATTCAGCTCAAAAGCCGCCTATCGTGACACCATCTCCTCCGCTTTCCGTTTTTACTCTTCCGGAACGTTCGCGTTATTCGAAATATCGGCACTGCCATCGGAACGAACCCATTCGGAGCCGCGTCGACGCCCTGTGGCGCAGCCTTCGGGGCTGTCTACACCCGCACGACGCGTTCCGGAGGGTCTCTCCCGGACCCGAGCCCTCCGCCAGCCCCGCGCCGCCGTCCGAACCGCGGGCAGCGCCCTCCCGGCCGTAGCCCCCCGTTGTTACCCCGCTCCCGGCTCACGTCGGGGACAGCCCCGCCGCCGGCTCCTACCTGCAGGACGTTGGCGTGGCGCAGCCGCTGCAGCAGCACCATCTCCTTGACGATCTTGTAGGCGGCCAGGCGGTAGCAGTCGGCCAGAGCCGCGAACTGCCGCACGCAGCGGGCGACGTCGTGCCCTCCGAAATCCACCGCCTTCAGCGCCACGGCCAGAGAGCGGTTAAGCACCGCTTTGTAGACGGCCTTGGTGTAGCCCGAGCCCAGGTACTGCACGCCGCCGGCGGCGCGCAGCTCGCGGCAGCCCAGCGGCGGCGGCTCCAGCCCCAGCTCGGCCGAGGCCCGGCCTCGCTCCGCCGCCGCCCGGCCCCGCGGCTGCTGCTGCTGCTCGGCCGAGGTGCGCGCCGGCGCCAGGTCCATCAGGCGCCGCTCCCGCGGCCGCACCGCCCGGCGCACCCCTGCCGCCCGCGGCTGCCGGTAGCGCAGCACCTCCTCGTAGCGCTCGCGGAGCTGCCGCGCCAACGCGGCTCGCCCGCCGCCGCCCTCCTCCTCCGGCGGCTCCAGGGGGGCGCCGGGCGGGGACGGGGGGGCCCCGTCGCGGGGCGGCGGCGGCGGAGGGGGGAGCTCGGAGCCGGGCACGAAGAGCACGTTGAGCAGGGTGCCCAGCAGCAGGGCGAGGCAGCAGGCGGCCGCCACCGCCGTCTTCCTGCGCCTCATCGCCCCCTCGCTCCCGTGCTCGCCCCTTCCCCGGGAACCGGCCGCAGGGCTCGTTTCGGCTCTCCCCGCTTTTCCCGAGGCTGCGCCGGCGGTGGAGCGGGGCCGGGCGCTCAGCCGGACCTCGGCCCCTTACGGCGCACCCGCATGACACTTGCCTCCCCGCTCCTCGGCTCTCCGGCACTTATTATTAGCGGGAGCGGAGGAGGGCGGGGGGGCGGGGGGGATCCCCGGGTCGCTCCCTCCGCTGACGCGCCCTGATTGACACCCGGCCCTCCGGCCGAGCAGCAGGGGGGCCTGGGAAACGTAGTCCCCCGGAGCAGCCCCGCCGGCCGCCGCCTGGCCCGGGAACGGGACTACATCTCCCAGGCTCGGCCGAGCCCCCCGGCGGGGAGGGCGCGGGGCGGGGCGGGGCGGAGCGCAGCGCAGCTGCCGGGCGGCGTCCTTCCCCCCCCCACCCACCCGCCGACGGGAACCGCGGCCTCGCGCTCTCTCTCCGGCGGGGCCGGGGCTGGGGCGCCGCCGTCGGGGGAACGCGGGAGCTGCCCGGGATGTGCCACGGCCCCGAGGGACACGCGTGGCCGTGGGGAAGCGGTACCGCGGGGAACGTGTCACACGCTCGGGATGGAGCTGTTAATCGCAGCCCTCGCGCTGCCGGAGGTGCGAATCGCCGGGGGGAGCGCTAATGACACGGTTATCCATCAAGGCCACATTACGACGCTGTTAGCAACTAATTAACAAGCACAATCAGCCTGAACCGCTGCCACAAAGGAGAGCCCATCAGCGGGAGGAAAGCCGCTAAGAGGCCGGCGAGGCAAAGTTCACCACAATGGCAGCTGGAAATCGCTTCCAAGGAGGGAGAGGGACGGCCATCGGGGCAATACACATGGCACACACATAAATAAAAATGAAAGAAATCAGCCACGGCTCTCCCGGGAGCTCGGGGCGGCTCAGCCTCCGGCCCCGCGGGGCCGTAATCACCCCATAAACAGAGCGGGGCGCGTAATCACCGCCTCCAATAAAGCCTCCCCGCTGCTGCGTGGGGGGGCTCCGCCCGGGGGATCGCTCTGTAGCCCCGGAGCCGCGCGCTCCCCCCATTCCCCGATGTTTCTGTCCAGAGGCGTTGCACGCTTGCAGCCTTCCGTGGTCGGATGGGGATTTAGGGCCGGTTCGGTACCAGCCAGCTCTGCAAAGTCGGGGACGGGATGAAGTGGAACAATCGTGTTTAGAGGCACGGTGCAGCCCGGCGCCGGGGGCTGCGCGTCCGCGGAAGCTCCGCGCCCGCCTCGTATGCGCGGTGCACGGCAGCGGAGAGCCCCGACCGCAAAACAGATGCTTCGCCGCAGATGAAAGCGGCCCACCTGCTTTTCCCATCGCGTCCCATCTCCTAGCCGCTTTTCTTCATTATATCCCTCCCGACAGATACCATGAAATACATCGCTCATTTAGATATGGGAGCCGACCTCTGGAGGACGACTTGTGCGGAGCCCTTTGATGTCGAGAGGCAGATTTCAAACGCCGGAGAGCCCCTCCATGGTTTTAATTACCCCGCGCCCGAGGCCTGCCGCTGATTAGGGCGGCGAGGCGGGCGGGCGGCACGGCGAAAGGGGCTGCGGCCTCGCTACAGCGCGCTGCCAGCAAAACCAACGCGGTTCTGTAAACACAGCTACCGGGCAAAGTCAACAACGAGCTGCGGCCGACAGCAAACAGCCCGCAGGGCCGCGCTGCTCCCCAACGGAGCCGGCCCGGGGCTTCCTTCTGCCCCACCGCTCCCCCCGTGTCCCCCCGTGGCCCCGTGGCCCCGCAGGACGCAACGCCGAGAGCATCCCTCGCCCGGCGGCACTGGGCGCGGGGCTTTCAGGTTGGCAGCGGCGCTGGGAAACGTGAAGCGCTGCAGAGGCGGCGAGGGCAGAAGCGCATCTTTCCACGTGAGCTTTACTTAGGTCCCCAACCCGGCCCGGCGACTGCCAAGCAGAGCGCTGCTGTTCTTGTTCTCACACCAGCTTTCAAGTGACTCCCCATTGATCCACCCCAGAGATTTTGGCTCCAGGCCCCAAAACCCCGAATCCCGTATTTCAGGTTGGATACTAGGAAACATTTCTTCTCAAAAATAGCAGTGATGCACTGGCACAATCTGCCCAGGGAGGTGGTGGAGTCACCGTCCCTGGAGGTGTTCAGGAACTGTGGAGATGTGGCACTGAGGTATGGGGGCGGGATGATGACTGGACTAGGTTGTAGAATCATAGAATCACAGAATATAGACCCACAGGAATCACTGAGTCCAACCCCTGCACGCAGGAACACCCGGAAATCAAACCCTATGTCTGTCGGCACTGTCCAAGCACTCTTGAACTCCGGCAGCTCAGGGCTGTGCCCACTGCCCTGGGCAGGCTGTTCCATGCCCACTGCCCTGTGGTGCAGAACCTTTCCCTAACCCCCAGCTGCTCCTCCCCTGAAGCAGCTATATGCCATTCCCCTGGACCCCGCTGCTGTCACCAGATGATCATAGAGGTCTTTACCAACCTTAACGATTCCATGAATTCCAAGCGTGGGCAGCTTCAGGTCCTCAGTTAAAAAACACAGCTGGAAATGTGTCTGTGGGAGCTGGGATCTGTCAGAGCTCCTGCAGGGTCACTGGTTTTTCCAGAAGATTTGTGTACTTGCACTGCTCCTCTTTGGCACTTAGGAGTTAATGTTTTTTGAAAGGACTTCATAATCTTTTGAATTCCTGGCCACCTGTTCTGGCTGTTTGTGTGGAAGTGGAGCTTTTTTTTTTTTTTTTTTGGAAAGCCTGAGCCAGGAGGCCCGAGATCCCTTGAACACCCAGGGCTGTGCCTTTGGGTGCGGGCTTCTGCACAGGCAAACTCTGCATCATCCTCTGCCTTGTCAGACTCCAATCCCTTGAACGTGTAGGTTTCGTAGTCTTTAGAGAGCGTTCTTACATGGCAAAATCTTTATAGTACTTTTTAAACAAGCTCTTTCTCTTTTTTCTTTAATGTTGTTTCTTCCTTTTCTCTCAGGAAACCCACTCCCTTGTCTATTTGAAGCAAGCTGAGATGCGGCCAATTGTATTAGTTCTGGCTACAGCAAAAATGCAGAATGAAACCTGAAGTGTGTGGTGTGAGTCCAAAATAAATGGTCACTAGCAGAGCCAGCAAAAACTTGCGAGCGCAGACAGTCTGCAAAAAGGAAAAGCTTGGGCTCTACCTGCGGCGCTTTGCATTTTTTCCAAAAGGAAAAATAAGTTCTGGCTTTAAAGAGCTTGGGAAGAGACGCTGGGGGCACTGTGCCTGTTTGTGATTGCGTTTATGAATTGTGATGATTCTTGCATTTTTTTAATTTTTTTTTTTTTTTTTTTGTGAATGCAGCATCTGTAAGTGGGGGAAGGTGCTTTATCTCCCGTCCTGCATTCTCAAAACACAGCATTGATTTTTATGTGCCAGATGTCAGCATGCCCCGACTCTCCATCAGTCAGTTGGGATGAAAGCCTGCCCATATCACAGAGGTGTTGCAAGGATAACTCTGCTCCTGCACAGGGAAATCTGGTACCGCAGCGATAAAGACCCTGTAAATATTTACACAGACAGAGCGAGCTCATGGAAGTGGTACATTATTGGCTTAACTTCATTGCAAGGAAGTAGTTGAAAATGTCACAGATACATTACGTTCACGTTATTTTTAATTAAGCATCGACAACATATTTGGTGCTGCTTCAAGCCACAAGATTCAGAGTGCTGCTGCTCTAAACGTTTTATAGACTGCAGGGAAATACCAAGTCTCAAGCAAAGGCAAGAAGTAGCACAGCTACTTTAGGACTAAATCCTGCCAGTTAGACCTTTACACTTTTAAGCTTTAGTAAAATAGTGGGGAAAAGACAACCAAAGGATATAATTTATTTGAACATTCAAAAACCTTTTGATAAACACCCATACAAGAAACTGTTAAGGAAACTTGGTAACCACAGAATTAAAATCCGCTTATAAATAGAGATGGAATAAATGGCCAATTCCGGTAGGGAAAGAGATTAATAATGAGGTGCTCTAGAGATCGGGACGCAGACCAACATTGCTTAATCCTGTATTAATAATGTCGGGGTGAAGACTGAAGTGTCAATAGAAAAGCAGTTAGCTTAGGTCAGAACAGCTCCAAAAGAATTTAATAACACAGCAGGACCCTGTGCAGAAGTAAGAGCTCAGCGTGGAAGGTGCCCTCAGAACCTGCAGCAGCCCTCCCGCTCCCCCTGGTACGCTGGCACCATCCCACAGCTGTACAAGGGTGAAGGTCGATAAGCAGGGCACAGGCAGAGGTTTGCATGGCTCAGCTGTTTCCTCGCTCCTCCCATGGGCTGCCCAGCTCCCACAGTCTGCAGTGCCAAGAGGCTGAACTCCCTCTACCAGCCTGTGAATAATATATCTGAGAACTTCTCCAGCAAATGTTTAGAAAAGCCAGTGTGAGTTCCCCATGGCTTATTCTTCCCTGAGGACATGCCAAAAGCTCTCGGTCACCTCTCACAGATACTTTAAGCATTACGTGTTTGCTCTGATGAGAGCAACATGGCAGCAAGCCCCCAGTGCACGTGGTCTATGTAAGCTCTGTAAGAAGCAGTCTGGCACCTCCCAGCACAGCCAGGATGCGAGTAGCTGTGTGTAAATAGTCCCCTCCCCCAGTGCTACACGGGGTAAATGTGTCTGAGCTATAACCACCGAGCTGAGGCACTGTCACTACTGCCCAGTGAAGCTGTAGTCCCCATCACTGGAGATAGATAAAACCAGGTTGAATGGGGCCCTGGGCATCCTGAGCTGGAGCGGGGGTGGGAAGGGAGAGGGCACAGCCCTGACCATGGTTGGGGGTGGGACTGGATGATCTTTGAGGTCCTTTCCAAACCAAGCTATTCTATGATTCAGTGGGCTCTTTGCTATGAGGTTTTTCTTCCCACTGACTTTGCTTTTGCGGTGTGGCTCTGCCTTGCTACTCCTCAGTGGCGTGATGTTTGCAAAGTGGGGAATCCCTGAATCCACACTGTAGGCTATTTGTTCCAGCTTAGTACACAGACAAATGTACTTACCCTGGACATAATCTGATGGTATCTCTGTGTAACTTCATTGTTGCCAGCCCTCCTTTCCAACCACTGTCTTCTCCGCAGTGCCACCCTAACACAGCACAGGCTGTGATGGCTTTTGAAGGTAATGACATTCATGGAAACTCAGAGCACTGTTTTTCGCAGGGATTTATTATTGCTTTGTTTTTAACCAGCGGGTCATTTCCAAGGATACTGTTCTGGAAAAGAAAGCAACTCATAAAGAAAGATT